GTGTGTGTGTGTGTGTTCCACAAATTGGTCTAATTTTATAAATGGTAGGTTAGAACTCTGTGTGCCAGGTGACAAAAGTAGAGTCACCTACAGGCTCGGGAGGAGGGGCTGTGAAGGAAATTTGCTCAGAGAAGGTACCATCTGTGCCCTAATGACACCTTCTAGTTTCTGCAACATTTATCTAACAGATATTTGGGTGCTCTTCTGTTGGCATTGTCTTTAGGCATTGGGCGATCTGCAGTGAACAAAAAGGCTAGAAACCGTGTTCTTGGGGGGTCAATTCCTAGTGGGACTTGGTGGCTTTTCTATTTGTCCATGAGGTCTTCTCTGATTAGTCATGTTCTGTACTCATGGAAACATCCTGAAATATAAATACAGGTGATACAGTTGTGTCTTGTTTTTCTGTTCGTTTCACCTCCCCAACCAGACATCAGGTTTATGTGTAAACGATCTATATTCCTGAAAAGAGAAATCATGTGCATAAGGAGTTAAGCAGAATAAGATAACGTTTTTGTAAAGCAGTTAGAATAGTGTCTGGCACATAAAAATAGTACATGAGTATTTTTATTATGATTTTACCAATCCTAAATGCAAATGACTTCTTATTTAAAGGAAGAAAAGAGAGGAAGGGACCCAGCCAGGAGCCAGGGGTCCTTGTTCCCCCAGGTGACTGGAACTACAGTGAAATGCCAAGTTGACCTGGGAGGGCCTGGATATGCCAGAACTTACCAAAAGTCCGGTGGAGATTCTCTGAAAGAGAAACAAATGGAAATGGATTTAGTAGGGCACTCAAAAAGGATCCTTTATCCTGAGTCTTTGTTATTTAATTACTTAAAACTTGCTCTAGGCACAACACACCCACCGTAGAGAAAGGGAAACTAAGGGAAAAACAGGGTATTGAGAGGGATAGATGGTCGAGAACGCGACCGTTTCCATTATGCCAAAACACTGAAAGGCAAGAATTGAGAGAAAGGATGACTGTAACTCACCTATCTCTGCTCGAAGTTTTCCTAAAATAGAAAAAGGCAACATTTTAGTTCCTGCATGCTCTGACTCCCGGTGGGGACCCTCCTACACCCAGCGCCTGGGCCCCTTGTGCAGGCTATTTCTCTGCAGCCCGGAAACAACCTTAGGAGAGTAGGAAGAGCACTGGATTGAAAGCCAAGGGCTGCGGCTCTTTCTCTAGCTATAGTCTAGATACAATAGCGAATAAAGAATGTGAGCAATGCCCCAAACCAGCACAAGGATCTACTACCTCCCAGCTGCTCTTCGCCCCTTTTCTTGGATTCTCAGTTCATAGTGCTGCTCCAGCCCACTGCGTTGCCACTTCCCATCTGAATGAGGAAGGAGAAGCTGAACATTTAGTGAGCAGCTAGCTACTCTGTGACTGGATTTGTAGTAGGCACGTTGCATGACTTTTATCCTCCCTACAATGTAGGAGGGAGGATGTCTTCTCTATTTGACAGACAAGGCAATTGAGGCTTGGAGAATCTAAGAATTTTGCTATATAGTTCAGTACCTGAGATGGAATTCAAACCCAGGCTGCCTGACTCTAACATTCAGATTCTTTCTGCTCAGCCATGTGGGCTGAAGGCCTTTTTCACGTGGGAGAAGTAGACAAGCAGGCATCTGGGCTGAATTCAAGGTGACAGAAAGGACTTTGTTGTTGATCCCACCAACACCCATCCCCCAAAAACATTCCCCATACCCTCCTTGCCACTTTCTCCTCTCCTCTTAGTAACAAATGAGAGGTGGGGCATGGGGAGGAGTGAAGACTCTTCCTGCTCTGGCACTGGGGAGACACTTGGTAGGGGGAGAAGGCTCAGAATGAAAGCTCTAGGCACAAAAGAGGAGCGTCATCAGCAGCTGAACCTGAGTCCTCAGTGTTGAATGGAGAAGGAAACAATGTTTGAATGCCTACTGTGTAGCACAGACTTTCACTTCAGCATCTATTCAAAACTCCTAATAGCCTAGACCTGTCTGACTTTGAAGCTCACACTCTCCTAAGTTGCATGGAGCTGCTAGGTATGATACAGAGGCCTCAGCTCTACCACTTACAACTTATATTGGTCTGAGTAAGTCACTGAACTACTCCTGGCCTCAGTTGTATCCTCTGTAAAATGGGGTTACTTTATGCCATAGTTAGCTCATAGGGAAAGCTGGGTCCGCTTATTCATATGAAAGCATTCCGTGAGATGTAAAACTCTTTCATTATGGAGTTATTTTTTTCTTTATCACTCAGTAGTGAGAAGAAGTTCTGAACCCAGAAGTCACTCACAAATACATGTTTAGTGGTGTAACTCCAAGAAGCCAGCTCATTTAAAGGAAGGATCCTGATCCACCCACCCTCCGCCTTGTACCTCTCAGTCTATACTGCAGGCAGAGGAAGACGAGGCCGACAGTGATCTGCAGAAGGAGCACAGGCAGCACCGCGAGGAGAACCAGCACTGCAGGGCTGACCCAGTAGAAGGGATCTGAAAGGCAGGACACATTGCCCAGAGCTGAATTCTCAACACTCAGCACGGTGCCTGGGGCCCAATAAATCAGGTCAAATAAAGACATGAATATCATTAGGATTCAAAGAAGGTGACACAGAATTGGTCCCTGAGCTTAGCCTTGATGGAAAAATGTTTTTTTCCAGGAAATGCTATTGATTTAGAATGACAAGTAGTTTAAAGTCAAGATTGTGTATTGGGTCAGGCTGGGGGAGTTTTAAGGAGCAGCTAAGGGACTTAGATCTGATCCTCAAGGCCGTGGGGGTGCACTGAAGGATTCCAAACGGAGAAGTGACCACATCAGATTTAGCACCTACAGGACTGGAGAAGATAGGGAGAAATGTTAAGAGACTGTGATAACAAAGTAAAAAACAACATGAGCCTGAACTAGGACAGTGGTAATGGTATAGGAAGTCAGAGGATTCAAAGCTTAAATACGGAATGAAAAATACATATTTTCAGTAACCTTTGAACTGAAATTTAGTATTTAATTATGCCTGTAGGCAATACACCACAATAATTTGAACAGAACCTTTGACTTTGTCATCAGTAAAAATCACAAATATTGGCTGGGCACAGTGGCTCACACCTGTAATCCCAGCACTTTGGGAGGCCGAGGTGGGTGGATCAGCTGAGGTCGGGAGTTCAAGACCAGCCTGATCAACATGGAGAAACCCTGTCTCTACTAAAAATACAAAATTAGCTGGGCATGGTGGCGCATGCCTGTAATCCCAGCTACTCGAGGGGCTGAGGCAGGAGAATCGCTTGAACCCGGGAGGCGGAGGTTGCGGTGAACTGAGATCATGCCATTGCACCCCAGCCTGGGCAACAAGAGCGAAACTCCATCTAAAATAAATAAATAAATAAATAAAAATCACAAATATTTTTATATCACATTAGAAAAGTCACAGAAATCTCAAACTATCACTTATCTATTTTTGATTTTACATTACTACAAATACATTACTAGGGCAACCCTAACTCTTGTTAATTTAATATTTTGATGACTGTATTTTGGTATAAATGTTTTATTTGGTATATTTAAAACATTCTTCTGGCTAGGTGTGGTGGCTCTCCCCTGTAATCCCACCACTTTGGGAGGCCAAGGCAAGATTGCTTGAGCCCAGGAGTTCTCGAGACCAGACTGGGCAACATAGTGTGAGACCCTGCCTCTACGAAAAAAAATTAAAAATTAGCCGGCCATGGTGGCACAAGCCTGTGGTCTCAGCTATTCAAGAGGTTGAGCCAGAAGGATCACTTGAGCCTGAGAGGTAGAGGCTGCCATGAGCCATGATCGTGCCACTGCAACCCATTCTGGGTGACAGAGTGAGACCCTGACTCGAAAAAATAGAAAAAAGAATTCTGAGATGGGGTCTATCAACTTCATCAACTTGCCAAAGGTGCATAACACACAACAAAAGGTTAAGAGCCCTCTTCTAGAGCTTTTAAGAAGGTAGTTTACAGTGGGCGCAGTGGCTCACGCCTGTAATCCCAACATTTTGGGAGGCCAAGGTGGGTGGATCACCTGAGGTCAGGAGTTCGAGACTGGCCTGGCCAACATGGTAAAACCCTGTCTCTACTGATAATACAAAAATTAGCCAGGCATGGTTGTGCACGCCTGTAATCCCAGCTACTTGGGAGACTGAGGGAGGAGAATTGCACGAACTGGGAGTTGGAGTTTGCAGTGAGCCAAGATCACACCATTGTACTCCAGCCTGGGCAACAAGAGCAAAATTCCGTCTCAAAAAAAAAAAAAAAAAAGAAAGAAAAGGAAGGTAGCTTACACAGGATTTGGTAACTGACCAGATGTGCAGACATGGAGTAGGTTGAGCAATGAGGGAGGGGGACCTTCACTTTTGTGGCTCCCATCTATTTCCCATTCTAGGTCTGCTCCTCAGCATCCAAAAGCCCCGCTCTAATCTCTATGTGCCATGCTGCAGCTGAAGCCCTTTTCATCTTGATCTCTGCTTTAAGGGAGCTAAGTAAGGATATTGACATCAAAGGTGGGGATACATCACAGCCAATAATGTTAAACTGGTCCAGGAAGGTTGCTCAGGTATAATTACAATCCTTTAAGCTGTAGACTAAGGCTCCTGTCTATTATTGTGTTCCCTAGAGGAAAATGCAGCAAACTTTACTTTCAAGTTCTTAATGGAAGTTACCTATAGCAATGTGATTTAGTGAGTACATACTTAAGTGAGTACATACATACTTTCTCCCAAACCCCATATTTTTACTTTCGCAAATAATTAGAAAGAGAGGAAAAGCAGCATTATTAGCCTTTGGATGTAAATCAACAAGAAGTATAGAGTATCACTGGTGAACTATACTTGCCAAAGTAAATCAAACACGAATGTCATTGCACTTCCACATCTATCAGTTTACAGAAAAAACACAGGGCATGGAGGACCGTATTATATAGCAACATGGGAATGTCGTCAACAAAATTCAGACCGTGGGAAACCTAAGGCAAAGGTCAACAGGTGGGTCTTGTTTGAATCTCACTAAAAGAAACCAACTGTAAGAGTGTATTTATGAAACAAATCAGGAAAATTTGAACACAACTGGGTATTTGATGATATTAAGAAATTTTTGTTGAGTTTTAAATGTGATAATATAGTATTGTAGTTATTTATGTATTTATTTTATTATTTGTGTTTTTTGTTTGTTTGTTTGTTTGTTTTGTTTTGTTTTTTGAGATGGAGTCTCACTCTGTTGCCCAGGCTGGAGTGTGGTGATGCGATTCTCAGCTCACTGCAAGCTCTGCCTCCCGGGTTCACTCCATTCTCCTACCTCAGCCTTCTGAGTGACTAGGGACTACAGGTGCCTGCCACCCATGCCCGGCTAATTTTGCTTTGTATTTTTAGTAGAAACAGGTTTTCACCCACATTAGCTAGGATGGTCTCCATCTCTTGACCTCGTGATTCGCCCTCCTCAGCCTCCCAAAGTACTGGGATTGCACAGCGTGAGCCCTCGTGCCCGGCCTATTTATTTTTTAAAAAGTGTTCTTTGCTGGGTTGCAGTGGCTCACGCCTGTAATTCTAGCACTTTGGGAGGCCAAGGTGGGAGGATTGCTTGTGCCTAGGAGTTTGAGACCAGCCTGAGCAACATGGCAAAACCCAGTCTTTACAAAATTACAAAACATTAGCAGCGTGTGGGGTGTTTGCTGTGGTCCCAGCTACTTGAAGGCTGAGGTGGGGAGGATGGCTTCTGCCTGGGAGCAAGGCTGCAGTGAGCAGAGATCATGCCACTACACTCCAGCCGTGGGTGACAGGAGACAGATCCTGTCTCAAAATAAAAAGAAAAAAGAGAAATGATCATGCTGCTCAGGATTTCCCTCAGTAATTGAGTAGGGGAGGGTGGTAAGAGTGGGGAGCTCGTGAAGTGGGTGGCCCCTGGATTGACAAGTGCTGGCAGCAAGGTTGTAGGCACTTGGAGGCTCATTATAATGTTCTCTCTGCTTTGTATGTTTTTCTTTTTTTTTTTTTTAGATGGAGTTTGTCTGTTGCCCAGCTGAGTGCCAATTGGCCACAAATCTTGGCTCACTGCAACCACTGCCTCCCGGTTCAAAGCGATTCTCCTGCTCAGCGGGCGGGGTTGCGCCATTCACTGTTTAATGTAGTTTTATAGAGACGTTCTCCAGTGATTGTGTGTGTCTCGAACTCCGATTCCAGGTGATCAGCCTGCCTCGTTCCAAAGTGTGTGTTTTTACAGTGTTGTGTTGTTATGCCTGGATTGTTGTTTAGATGAATTGGGGTTCAATAGTAATTAAAAAAATGGGACAAGAAAAAATAAGTAAAAAAGAGAGATTAGAAACTCTTCAGAGAAAGAGCAGAGGTAGTTACACCTGAGACTTGCAATAATACCATTACTTCATCTCATTCCTAAATTTGTCTCAACTTCCTGGCTCCCAAGCCTAGGCAAAGTGTCCCTTGTTTACTTGTAAAACAGTTTCTTTTTAGATTCTTAGGCATGCAGACTAAGAGGTGGGAACAGGAGGTTGGAATGTGGATAGCAACCCAAAAGACAACTTTCTTCCCTGAAGCAAAGTCTTTAGATCTTTAGATGCTTTTCTTTTTGTCTTCCTTGTTTTTTTTTTTGTTTGTTTGTTTTTTGTTTTTTGTTTTTTTTTAGAGGGAGTTCCACTTCTCTTGCCCAGGCTGGAGTGCAATGGCGCGATCTTGGCTCACTGCAACCTCCGCCTCCCGGGTTCAAGCGATTCTCCTGCCTCAGCCTCCCAAGTAGCTGGGATTACAGGAATGCGCCAAGCTAATTTTGTATTTTTAGTAGAGACAGGGTTTCTCCATGTTGGTCAGGCTGGTCTTGAACTCCCAGCCTCAGGTGATCCACCCACCTCGGCCTCCCAAAGTGCTAGGATTACAGGCTTGAGCCACTGCACCCGGCTTGTCTTCCTTTTTTGGTGTGGTAAAACTGAGGGAGTTTGTTGGGAGAGGCAGTTACTGAGCTAGGAAGTTGTTGAGCAGCAAGGAGAAAAATCTGCAAACTGGAGAGGTTCTCTCTATCAAACTTTTTGACAAGTAGAATTTCCCCAGTGAAAACAGCTGTATGAAGAACATTATGAGACACACAAAGCTATTTCCATATCCCTGCAGGCAGTCTCTAGAAATAATGCTTTGTTGTTCCACATACAATGCCGTCTTCTGGTCCCAGCAGTGCAATGGTCACTCACACCCCCAAGATACAATAGTGATCAATTGTCTGATGTTTGCACTGCAGTTGGGGAGGAGGAAAAGGGAAAGGATCTGACACCGAGGCCCTCAAAGCAGTTTAGTTCTTCAATTAAATAGCAATTAACTTTCAAAGCTCCACCTCCATCCGCTTCACCTTGTCCACATCTTAATCATCCTGAGATAGAGCAAAAAATAATCTCCAAAATCACCCATCATGCAAAACATGTTGAAAATGAAATTCTGAGGCTGGGCACTGTGGCTCACGCCTGTAATTCCAGCACTTTGGGAGGCTGAGGCGAGTGGATCACCTGAGGTTAGGAGTTCAAGATCAGCCTTGCCAACCTGGTGAAACCCTGTCTCTACTAAAAATACAAAAATTAGCTGGGCGTGGTGGTGGGCACCTGTAATCCCAGCTACTCAGGAGGCTGAGGCAGGAGAATCACTTGAACCCAGGAGGAAGGTACCATTGCACTCCAGCCTGGGCAACAGAGCAAGACTTCGACCCCTGCCAAAACAAACAAACAAACAAACAAACAAATTCTGCAGAATGAAATAGTGGAGGTACAGCCAAAAGGTGATATCTTCTTTCTATAATTATATTTAGACATTTGCTTTACTTGCTTATTCACTAGGACCACACACAGGCATGTGTGTATGTGTGTGTGTGTGTGCTCACAAATACAGGGCTTTGTTTTTTGTTTTTGTTTTTTTTAGACACAGGGGTAGGGAGTGGGGGCGAAGGGTCTTTGCTCTGTCACCCAGGCTGGAGTGCAGTGGTGCAATCATAGCTCACTGTATCTGCAAACCCCTGGGCTCAAGCCAGTCTCCCACCTCAGCCTCCTGAGTAGCTGCGAGACAAACCACTATGCCCTAGGGTTTTGTTTTTGTATCCTACATTCTGCAGCTTGCTCTTATCACTCAACAATACCTTATAGCAGGCCTCCAAACCATCTGGCATAGTGCTAAAATAATCTTTTTAATGCCTGCATAATATTCACAGTATGGCTACCGTTGTTTATTCAGTCACTGACCTCAATCAAAGGCATTGACTTTGATCCCAATTTCCTCGCTACTCTGAATAATAATGCAGCAGACATCCCTAAGCATATGAGTTTCTGCTTATTGATGTGTACGTTTGTATGGAATTCATTCCTAGGCGTGAGATGTTTGGGTTGAGGGATCTCATCTTAATTGAGAGAATGATTGTTCCTGGCCACCCAACAGTTAATACCTAATATTATACGGCACTACTCACCTTCCACTTTCAATTCTATTGCTGCCTCCTCTTGGTAAGAATGATCTCGGAAGAAGCAGGTGAAACCTCCTTCATCTGAGAACCTTACATTCCGGATCCTGAGAGTCACCTTTCCCTCACCAATAGCGTCTTTCAGCAGCTCTGTCCGGCCCCGATATTCAGGTGCTTGCTCTCCATCTTGGTCCCTGCCATTTCTGTAGAGATGAACCACCCTAGAGAAGGGGGGCCGGTACCATCCCACTTCCATGCCTGTAGCGTTCTTCCCAGGAGATATGCGACATGGCAATTCCACTTCATCACCGACCAGAGCCCGGATAGGTTGTCTTGGTCCTATCACTCTGAACTGTCCTGTTGAAGACACCGAAAGGAAGAGACTGAAGGTCAGAGGGAACCTTGGCAAGTAAGCCTGTCATGGGAAGGGCTGCTTCAAAACAGGGAAGGAAGAGGACACTCGACTTTTAAATGAAATTCTAGATCCAGGAAGGAATGCAATTTTTTTTTCTTCTTCCCCTTTCTTTTTTTTTTTTTTTTTCTGAGACTGTTGAGACTGAGTCTTACTCACTGTCGCCCAGGCTGGAGTGCAGGGTGCGATCTTGGCTCACTGCAACCTCCACCTCCCTGCAACCTCTGCCTCCCTGCAAACACACACACACACACACACACGCATGCACATGGTCCTAGTGAATAAGGAAGTAAAGCAAATGTCTAAATATAATTATAGAAAGAAGGAGATGTCACCTTTTGACTGTACCTCCACTATTTCATTCAAGTGATTCTCCTGCCTCAACCTCCTGAGTTGCTGGGATTACAGGTACCTGCCACCACGCCCAGCTAATTTTTGTATTTTTAGTAAAGATGAGGTTTCACACTGTTGGCCAGGCTGGTCTCATACTCCTGACCTCAGGTGATCTGTGGCTCCAAAGCGCTGGGATGATAGGCGTAAGCCACCACACCCGGCCCCAAGTTTCCTTCTTGAGAATAACAACAACAACAAAAAAGTCTGTGGTTATAGAGATATTGTGAATATCCTGGACAGAACATTCTAGCAATCATCTCATCTCAGCATCTGCCCATCTTTTTGCCAACTGTAGCCATCTCTGACTCTTCAGTCCAGGCTTTAAGTTTCCCTCTTGGAATGTGGTGCAGCATCTTGAGGTTGAATCTTCCCATGGGCCTCCCTGTTAGGACTTGGCCAAATTACTGCCTATTCTACCCTTAGAGGTTTCGCTTTTGTCACTCCATCCACTTTAACTGTCTCTCCACCACTTCTCACTATTCAGTCCTTGTTCATACCCTGTTTCCCAAATTCTCGTCTGAGATCTTCCACCCTGGGGATGGCTCTATTTCACTCTTCCTTCTTCTGTATCTTCCACCTCACTGTGGCTCCTCGACCCTGACCCAAACAAGTTCCATGTTTTTTCCTATGTGGATGTGTTTCTCGAATCAGACTCTGAGCTACTAGGAAATAAAGCTGCTTTCTCCCCTAGACCTGGAGAGTGGATGCACTGTACCTCTGTCAGTCAGGTGGCTCCCTGAGGATGGGAATCTTTCTGTTGATTTCCCCTCAGCATGTGACAGCCGGGTTCCTTTAAAAAACTTACCGGTGCCTGATTATGCAGAGCAAAGTCTCAAACATGACAAGATATTATAATTCCACAAACATTTATTGAGATTTACTATGGACAGACACTGCTAAGCATGTAATCTCATGTAATCCTGATGGGTACTCCAAGAGGTTGCTATTATTTTATCTCAATTTGAGAGGTGAAAAGACAAGTAAGAACTAGTTCAAGAAAAGCTTTGAGTTAGTCACATTAAGGAGTCTGGGCCGGGTGCACTGGCTATGCCTATAATCCCAGCACTTTGGGAGGTTGAGGAGGGCAGATTACTTGAGGTCAGGAGTTCAAGAACAGCCTGGCCAACATGGTGAAACCACGTCTCTACTAAAAATTAAAAAAAATTAGGCTGGGTGCAGTGGCTCACACCTGCAATCCCAGTACTTTGGGAAGCTGAGGCGGCCGGATCAGCAGGTCAGGAGATTGAGACCATCCTGGCCAATTTGTGAAACCCTGTTTCTACTAAAATACAAAAAAAGAAAAAAAAAATTAACTGGGCTTGGTGGCAGGTGCCTGTAGTCTCAGCTACTCGGGGGGCCAAGGCCGGAGAATCACTTGAACCAGGGAGGCTGAGGTTGCAGTGAGCCGAGATCATGCCACTGCACTCCAGCCTGAGCAACAGAGGGAGACTTTGTCTCAAAAAAAAAAAAAAAAAAAAAAAGAGTCTGGACTCCATCTTGAAGGCTGTAAGAACCACCCACGGAAGGTTTCTGAGGAAGGGAAGCATGTCAGCAGGTCTATGTTTCAGAAAGATAATATAGCAACTTGAGGATGATTGAAGGAGTTAAGACCCAGGAAACTAGCCTTTCTGTTTTCAGGGTCTCCCCAGGGCAGGAAAAAAACATGTCTCACCTGCGTAGCTGGAAGACACTTGGAGGAGCAGGAGGAGGAGGAAGGAGCAGAGGCAGCTGGGCAGAGAGGGTCTTGATAAGCTTGCCATCTCCACCGTTCCTGGGGACAGAAAGCCCCCACAGCAGAGTCAGGCCAAGTGGAGGGCCTCGGGGTGCATGTCCCCTTACTGCTGAAAAGCCCGAGGGAAGATCTGGGAGGGCAGTGCTGCCTGGGCCCTGCCTCCACTCCAGTAAGTGCTGCAGCTGTGCCCGCAGAAACAGCCCCACGTCACCCTTGCCAGGCATTCACACAAAAGGTCTACAGACTGAGGGGATGACCAGGGTTTGCCTTCCCCACCCCCTCCCAGAGCAATGGAGCAGAGGCTGCCTGGTACTGGGCTTTCCTCCCCCACGCCCTCCTGGAGATCCAACCCTTGAAGGGTCTTGCAGGGGCTAATTGGTGGGGAAGGATCACTTACAGGACCTCAGGGAGAGGCTCGTTTATGGAATACACAAGGTTCCTCCAATCCACCCCAGCCCTACCAATTAGTCAAAAGAGAGAAAGTATGATTGGTTCTTCAAAAAAGAAAGAAAACTTAGATTTTTTTTCCTGTTTCTATTATCTCACAACTGTCATCACCAGACCATTCTTCTTGATGTCTAACCTCCCTTTCTTCTACCACGAATCCAAACTCTGTTCTGTATGTTTGTATATGTGATGGGTCACTTGGGATTTGTTAGTTTCTTGTCCCCAAAGAATGTTTTTAGGGAAGTCATGAGATGAACGTCAGGAGTGCTCAGAGAGGCAAGGTTGGAGGAAGGGAGACCAGCAAGGGCAGCAACTAACTGTGTCAGTCAACACAGGCAGCAGGGACAGAGCCAGCATACAGGACACGCTCTCCAGCCTTCACATCACTTGCCAGTTTCCTCAGTGTCACAGGGGAGAGTGAGATCTGCAATGGAAACCTTTCTCTCACCTCTGGGCTCAGGTGAGAATTGCAAGGGTGAGACCAGCATTGGTACCAGGTTCCAAAAATAGACTTCCCAATCTTAAGGCAAGTATGCCTCCTCAAATAAGGAAAAAAGGCTCAATTTAGAGCCGTGCCTTCCAATGCAGCAATCACTGCCTGCAAGTGGCCACTTAAAATTAATTACAATTAAATACATTAAAAATTTGGTTTCTTGATTACACTAGCCATGTTTCAAATGCTCAATAGCACTACAGTTAGTGGTTATCTCATCAGACAACACAAATGCAGAACATTTACATCGTCACAAAAAATTATATTAGGCAACACAAAAATTTATATTGGGCAGCAAGGGGTAGAAACACAACTGAGACATACATTTCTGCTTTTGTCCGAGATGGGTGTAAGGAGCTAGAAGGACAGATTATGGTCAGTTGAATCTGGGAACTGCTTATTCTTTCACCCTGCAAGGCAGCTGGCATTTGGGCACAAGCAATGCTTGGCTACTCTGGTGCTGTGTGGTTGAAAGTCAAGATTGCAGGGGTGGATCCCATGGAAAAAGTGGCCACTGTGGATCCCTGGCTTTTTACTAAGTGGGGATTTTCTCCTTCAAAAACCTAAAATGTCCTGGGACGCTCTTTCTCCCTGATGCATATTCAGGTAGGAGAGTTATGCACAAGATGTTTCTGGGCAGGGTTTGGGGGCAGTAGGATGTATGCAAGTGTCCAGCACTAAGCAAGCTGTCAAAAGCTGGATGGGAGATCAGGATGAGGGTGGAGGCATGTGGGAGCAGGGAGGGTCAGGAGCCTGCTGAGCCATCACAGCCACTTTGGAGAAATCACAGCATCTCTGAAAACAACAACAACAACAAAAAACTAACCACCTTACTGAGATCTTCTATGTGCTGTGGTTCTAAGTGGTTTACTTGCATTAACACCTTTAATCCTCACAACAACAAAACAAATATTGAACTATTATCACCCATGTCTTACAGGGGAGAAAAGGGAGGTACAAAAGAGGTAAAGGAACTTGCTAAAGTCACACCACTAGGGAGTGGAAGAGCTGGGATTTCAAGCCAGGCTTTCTAGTCCTAGAACTGGCTCTTTTAACCACCACAATACAAGACGTCTGAAGAGCTCAGCTTATTTACTTTCATGCCCTCAACTGCCTCAAATCTCCTGAAAGGGGAGGATTCCTGGAGCTGTGAGAGCAGTCCCTTGGCTGATGTGGTCTTTGGGCAAAGGTGATATATACAAGGGAAGTAGAGAGGGGCCACCAGCAAAATGAAGCCAGTGCTGTTGCCACTTGCAGAAATCTGGGGTGTAGGGGCCGGGCGCAGTGGCTCATGCCTGTAATCCCAGCACTTTGGGAGGCCGAGGCAGGCAGATTACCTGAGGTCGGGAGTTCGAGACCAGCCTGACCAACATGGAGCAACCCTGTCTCTACTAAAAATACAAAAATTAGCCAGGCGTGCTGGCGTGCACCTGTAATCCCAGCTACTTGGGAGGCTGAGGCAGGAGAATCCTTTGAACCCGGAGGCGGAGATTGCGGTGAGCCGAGATCGCGCCATTGCATTCCAGCCTGGGCAACAAAAGCGAAACTCCGTCTTAAAATAAAATAAAATAAAATAAAATAAAATAAAGAAATCTGGGGTATAGGAACACCAGGTATTGCCAGGAATAGAACCTGGTGTAGATGTGTCCAAGAAGTGAAACTACCTGTGTCACCCTGGGAGCTGCTCTTTTCTTTCAACATTTAAATGTTATTTTAATTGATTTTGTATAGCATATGTTATGAGATCCTGCAAGCATTCTTGAGTTGCCTCTTTTTTTTTTTTTTTTTTTTGAGACAGGGTCTCTCTGTCACACAGGCTGGAGAACAGTGGCATGATCAGGGCCCACTGCAGCCTTGACCTCTCAAGTTTAAGCGATCCTTATGCCTCAACCTCCTGAGTAGCTGAAACTATAGGTATATGCCACCATGCCTGGCTAAATGGAAACTTCTTTCCTTCCTTCCTTTCTCTCTCTTTCTTTCTCTCTTTCTCTCTCTCTTTCTTTCTTTCTTTCTTTTTTCTTTCTTTCTTTCAAGAGATGGGGTCTTGCTATGTTGCACAGGCTGGTCTCAAACTCCTGGACTCAAGTGATCCTCCTGCCTCAGCCTTCTAAAGTGTTGGGATTACAGCCTGAGCCACCACACCCAGCTCAATTTTCTTCCAGTGTTGCTGTCCTCAGTAATTTTAGCTTAATCTGCATTTCTCACCATGTCCAATGACAGACCATGTACACAGTAATATATTCAGAGTGACACACTGAATACAATAAATGTGTGTGGTAATTTTTTTTTAACATGCTGTATCCTGTCCATATGTGAAATAGTAAGCACTCAATAAATGATAACTTTCCTACATTAAATACCCAGCAACAGTACTGTATAAGGTTTTCCAGATAATCTGTAAACTATATATCTTTACATTATTTATCTGTTATCAGAAGTGATAATAGACACACTGTTTTGATTCTTGTTGTCCACTTAATTCATAATTCCACGTTAATAAATATATAATATAGCTTTTTTGTACTTTTGAAAATTGATTCTAAGCCAGGCATGGTGACATGCACCTGTTGAGCCCATGAGAGAGAGGCTGCAGTGAGCACTGATCATGCTGCTGCACTCCAGCCTGTGCGACAGAGTGAGACCCTATCTCAAAAACATTAAAAAAGTAAAAATTGATTCTTATAAAGTAACATACTTTGAAAATCTCAGCCATCCAAAGCCAATCTGTATTTTCTCTAAATGCTTCCATATTTGTATATATGCCACTAGAGGGCGCTCCATGAAAGTCACTGACCTGTGAGGGCTGAAAGTAGCGCTCACACATCCCTCCATCTCCCTCCTCCCACCTGTTTTACATAAATGGTAACAATTTATCTTGAAGCTCTTTCCTTATCAGTACCTAAAGAACATCCTTGTTATTTTTATACAGCTTACAATATTTTATTGGATGAATATAATATAATATAACTATAGTTATTAAGTAGCTTCCCAGCATTTAGGCTGTTTTCAATTTTTAAATATCTATTTTTTACTCGGTTGAAGCAATGTAATCAATTAACTCTAAACTCAATACATAATTTTAAAAGCAAGTGCTTGTGTCTACTTTATATTCGGCCCTGATTATAAGAGTTCGCAAGACAGACAAGATTCTTGCCTTCATGACTTAATTCCAAAGTAATAATTTAAAACTGCAGTTATATTACCAGTTGTATGGTTACCTAAAGGCACAATTGATAAAATGCTCCCAGGCATCATTTTTCAACCTTTTTGTTCTTACATGATAATCTTTTCAAGTGAATATCCGTCTATCTCTAAGGCCAGCTATATATTTGAGGGGGCAAAAGAACTATCTGGAGCTCCTCTGCGTTTAAGTAGCACGGAAAAGCCATGTTGCCGTGTGGTCATGGCCTGTATCCCCCATCCACTTTGGGAAGGACCAGGTTGGGAGGATCGACTTGAAAA